AAACAACGCGGCCACCTTCTAGAGCGTATAAACAGACAGGCAACTTGTAGATGGCGGAGTCCTCACAAATTGGGCGCACTCTTTCTTGGATTGTGTGTCAATGGAAGCCAAAAACGCAAACCACTCGTATAGTGTCGACTTTGACTCAGCAAACGCGCATTCCAATCATCTGCTTTCCGACCGTTCCTGAGCAAGAAGACTGACCTTGTCTAGGTGTATTGGAAAGGCCATTCCTGGCAGCAATGGTGGGTTCTCCGGACCCTTGAGGCTCAATCTTGATGCCACGAATCGCGACATCGAAGCGAACCCTAAAAATGAGGATTATTGAGAAGTGGGGGATATGGCAATGGGTTCCTTTTGTTCCTTTTGCACCCCGTGCAAAATGGTCACCAAACCATTTTCAAACACCCCATTGTCGTGCATGATGCGTGGAAAAGCCCTCGAAAAAAGAACTGCGCTGGTGATCAATTACTAGTAGATTGCCATTCCGTGTTGAACTGTTAAAGCGCAGTAGTGTAGACTCACGTTTTTGAGTTGCTTTTCAATTCAAACAAAGTCTTGACTTGTCTTCGCAAAGCTGATTTGAGAATCCGTGCGAAGCGCTCACTTGATCGACCGGTGGGTTTGCTTGAAGTGTTCACACACCCTCCCAGCCGTCGCCAATAAATCAAGAGAAATCGCACGCCATTCTAAGCCCGCCCCAATGAGCAACATAGGACGCCCAAGACAGCCACAGATCAGAATGAGACTCACGCACAGCGGAGAAGTCAAAGGGAGAGCAGAAGGGATCCACAGATGCTGCAATGACGAACGCCAAAACGGAATCCGGCGCGGCAAATCAGAAAACACGTCAATGTGCTGATCAAGATAAAAAGGGCAAGCGTGCCATGCGGAAAGCAGGATGGACGATCGGCTTGGTGGCGAGACTCCGGCAACGCGCAGAAGCAAAAGCAAGAGACAAACACTGGGAGACCGCGTGCGGACACAGCATGATAACAGAACCTGTGAGCCAGGTGAGCGCAGACAGCAAGGCATGGATGCATGGCACATGTGTGCTTACCATTCCCCCCCGCCCCGCTCCAGCTTGTCAGAAAAATAGCCTGTGTCAAGATCGACAACCCTTCCACGGTGGCGAGAAGCGCCGTTGTCGTCAACAACACTACGTGCGCTTCTGCCTTCTGCACCTGGCCGCACGTGTGCTCACCTTGAATCATCTCAAGACGTCCCGGGTTAGACTGCGAGGGGGCAGGAGGGCGCAGGGCCGGGTTCACCCTATATATATATATATATATATACACACTGCGTTCATGTACAGTACACATGTGTATACATGTTTTTTTGGTTTTTCTATTTTCGCATATGACACTATGTAGCTCCAGCCTCTCTGTCCAACAGTTGTCTCCACCTTAACACGGTGCCGGAAGCGTTGAGCCCGACAGGCCGCTGCATCAAGGGATCCGAATGGTTCCCACCTCCCAAGGGCTCCCATGGGGAAAAAAGACACCCAATTTGGCACTCGAGTTTAAAGGGGCGCCCAACTGAAGAAAAAACATGTCCTAGAGGCTTGGGGTTCCGGGGGAAGGGCCCAACTTGTGTCACGAGAACGACGAGGCATAGGTCGACGGTCGGTCTTAGCGGAAGTCAAACGTGGCCTTCACTGAACAACGCTGAACAATATTTTCCCACCTGCCACTGTGCCCTAAACCGATGGACACATTGTTGTCCCAGCGTGGGCAAATCTTGGCCAGCCTCGCCTCACCTGCACTCAGGAGTTGATCCAGTACTTTGTCCAACGCCAGCCGCTTCCTTCTGTTCTTGCCTGCTTGGGGAGCGAGTATCCGTGGAAAAGTATGCTCCTTTCATGTCAAGACGACCCCTGCACATTGCTCCCCGAAACCCAACCTAGGTCCTCCAGCAGAGAGGTTAGAATAAGGGTACCCTTTTTTTCTGTAGTCTATTTTAGTAGGGGTTCCCCTCCTCCCAAAAAAGGGGAGAGAAGGGCACCTAGCTGGGGGACCTAGCAACCAAAAGAGGCACCGGATAGGGCCCCCGCCACCACCTCCCGCGCGCGGGGCCGCCCGCGGGCCTGAATGCCATGCCGCCGAACTGGGGGTGGCGGTCAAAAGGCCCTACCTCAGCTTGCCTCCAACTGGTGATTTGAATCGGTTTGGTGGGGAGGGGTTCCCATTTAATGCCGTTCAAATCCCAAATCACCAATCTAAACCACCAAAGGGTCACCTGATTGCCTGTGGTGCTTTGTGGGCAAACTAAGCAAAAAGTGAAATTCCGCAACGTGAAAGGTCAAAGATCACAGCAGCAAATCGCGAGTTACCCCTAGACTCGCGTTCGGAAAAATCGACGCGTTTGAGTCTGCGGGGATTGCTCGAATGGAACCGCGGTACTCAGTTCCTGAGTGGGATTCCCAAAAAAACAATACAAACAGTTTTGTTTTGGTGTGGGGTGTCCCTCACATGGCCTTCCCAAGAAGTACCAAGTCCTGGAATGTAGGCAATGAGTAGATCATGGGATGTTGGAACCTTAGCCTGGCAATGCTTAAAGAGAAACCAAAGGCGTGTTGCCAAGAAACATGCTTTTGGCTGGACAGCGGTTAAGATGGCCATGGAAAGAAACGCTTGTGGCTTACAGTGGACTGGCAATGAAAACCAAAGACAGGTCAATGCCACCTTTGCACAAGGGAACTGGAAATCACATTGACACCCTTGCTCAGCTTCATTCCATTAGATTCCGTCTGTTAGAGCAACACCAACACACACACACACACAATCCCTCTCTGTTCTATATATATATATATATACACTGTGCATGTATATATATATATGTATATATATATATATATATATGTCCCTCAGCAGACCAAACACAAGATGATTTAAATGAAAAACAACGCCCCAAATGAACAAAGCAACAAAAAACAACAGCTAAATGGCTGTGGGTAAAACAATTAGGTACCCCAAATGGCACCCTGGTAAATGGAAACAATGACTAAAACCTGTGGTCCCCTGTTGGTTTAATTTTGACCCATACCCAAATCACAGTGAAGACCAAGCCTTGCACTGAAAAGGCTTCATGTCAAGACCGGAGCCTCGATGCCCTCTAGCAGGAAGGGGTCATCTGCACCTGGGGGTGAGCAGGAGACGCGCTGTGTTAGGCTTGGGTTTCGTTTGGGAGCCTTGGAAGAGTACCATTGGACTTGCCATTTGGTTCAGAGCCCTGGGCAAAATCAACATACTTTGATTCTTTAACACCAAAATGGAACGTTGAACTTTCAAGTGCTTGTGGCAAACAACGAGCCATTGGTCAACCAGGCACCAAACTTGCCCGGATCGGACTCCCCGCAAAAGGTGACAACTTGTTGCTGGTCAAAAAATGAACCGAAGGAATGTCAAGGGTAAAAGGGCAAGCAGGCTAGCTATGTCAATGTCTACCCATAGAACCCTTTGCAAAATTGAGGACTTGGTCGGATCATTAAAGAAGCAACACCATGACCCAATAATGGGTTCGAGGTCTGCTTTAACAGAAACAGGGCTGCTAACAAGGAAGCTAAAGTTTCTCCTTACTCCCCTGCAAATTCACATAGACAAAAAGGTCAGTCCTTCCCGCAAAAAGGAGCCTCCTTCAAAATGAGCCTTGGATTCCATGTCTGAGCCTCATACAAACTCTACTCGTTTCCACGAGAGCATGTGACTTGGCGCACGCCTGGGAAGTTTTTGGGCCTTCGAGTCCTCCCCCAGTACCAAAGGCCAGTCATTCTTCGCCGGTGGGCGCTGCCCATGCACCGTGCCAGCAACTTGCTCGGACATCGACGGGAGCTTGGGCCAGCGGAAAGGCGCCGACGGACCGGGTGGAAACAAAGACAAGGTACCAAAAGGTTAGCGGAATCCCCCCTTAGGTTGACGTTGGGCTTGGGGAGCAAACAAAAAATACATGTTGGCAGTTAAGTGGTTGGATTTCCACCACGAAACCACAATAAGCAGACATGTAACATGTTTCCCAACAACAACCAGGCTGGGAGACTCGAAATGAAGGCACGGCAAGTGAATGACTCTCTCAGAAATCGAAGTCTGGTACAGACATTCCCCGCGTTTCTTGATCTGTTGCATGTTTGACTTAAACGGAAACCGGCGGAAGCCCAAAAAAACGTGCGACAAGTTGACGCCCAAGAAGACAAGGATAACATCCCCAGCTTTTCTGGCTCTTCAGATCTACCCATAGTTTTGGGGTGCAGGTAGTTCTGTTTTGCGACCTGACCTTTTGTAGTACTGACACGTACTTCTTCTTCGAACATAGTGTTCAACCTCAAACCACAGGGCTTCCCGGCCAAACATACTGGGGCTCAGGTGGCAAGATATCTCCACGTCTGGGCTGACACGTCGATTACAACCGGGAGTAGAGCCCCCCCCCCCCCCCCTCCACGAAAGGGGGAAGAAACTAGAGTCACTCGAGCGGTTCAGGGCTGCCAATAGACAATCATCACTGGCGAGAGGACTTTCATACAATTCCAAAGCTTCCCCAAAGTTTTGCGACTCCAGGTCGGGCCCCGGTACACAGGTCTCTGCATATCTTCCCCGAGACACCCCGGCAGCCTTTAAGTGATGCGTTCAAATTCACAAGGGGGACATCTAGTTGGAAGCACCGTCTTTCAGGGTACGCTGCTCCTTCCGTCTATGTGGGTGCATGTGTTGGTTTTGCCGACCTGAAGCAAAAAGCTCTGCCTCACAAGAACCTGGGTGAGGATTCAAATATGTTCGATTCTCACGAGCTTGGCAAGGGCAAAGATGTCAGGTGTTGCCTACCTCAGCTTCCCCCCCGTGCCAAACATATAGAACTGAACCTGAAAATGTACTAAAAAAACAAGAGAGATTCTAGTTAGCTAGGTCCTTCAGCAGCGAGGTTAGAACGGTTAGAATAAGGATATTCGTTTTTCTGTAGTCTATTTTAGTAGGGGGAACCCTCCCAACCGAAAAAGTGGGTAAAGGGGCACCTAGCTGGGCGACCTAGCTAGGCAAAGCGAGGTTCCCGGCTGGTCTCCGCACCGGAGGGCGTGCCTATATGCGTCCAACGAAAGGTCCATCAAAATGGGGTCGGGTGGCCCTTTTTTTGGATACCTTACTATGGTGCCTGTAATCCCGCTTACCCAGTTCCACTTCCCGGTGTGGACAAATAGCCAAGGGAAAAACCACCCCTGAGACCACAAAGAAAATGCTTGGTGATCCACAGTGGATTGCCTGGGATCCAGGGGGAAATTGCACAAGGGTCCCTGACTTTGAGAGGCACACCCGTACTTCAAGGGGCGTAGTACAGCAAACTCAAGACGTGTAACACATTGCAATCAAGTAACTATCTGCGAACGCGCAGGGAGCATTTTGGTGGACCTCGTGTTGGTTGGATTTTTACAACCAAGCGTTCTTGAGCGTGGTCCAATTGATACGAGACAATATGCGGCATGCGTGTTGTTCAAAACTAGGGAGCCCCTCCTCTCCTTTTGGTCTCCCTTTAAAGCCATGCAAGAGAGCTCCCCTATTGTGAAAAGACCCATGTCTGGCAAATTGCCATTCAGAAGCTAGAAATCAGGAACCGCGGGAACCTTCATGGGTCATTTTGCCAGAGGTCGTGTACACCCCAAGGAACCCCTGAGCCTTCAACCAATGGCAGGGGCCTGTCTTAGGCTCCCGTTTTCCAGTTCGTTTCAAGGACAGTTGAAGGGGAACAACGTTAAGTGGTGTGTTCCCCTCTTCTTGGTTGGCGTTGGGTTTGGGGAGCAAAAAAAAAATGTTAGCAGTTAAGTGGGGATTTCAACCAGTAAACCACAATAAGCAAAAATGTATAATGTTTCCCCACAACAACCATGTCTTTGACAAACCCCAGTATGTATATGTATACGTACTCCGATTGCTTCAAGTTCCCGCCTCCGCGTGGGAAAAGGCCCTGGAAGAGGCTCTTGACACCTTGGTACCCAGATCCATGTCCCATAGTAACCAAGGAAACCACCCGTTTCAACAACATGAACAATGGCCCACCCCCCTGCCCCCCCGCCCCCGGCAAAAAGCTAACTTTGTGCTCCATGGCTACGGCTGCTAGAACTTTGTGCTTAGGCAAACACACACATTTGCCCCAAGTCAAAGGTTAAATGTGCAACCAAGCAGGCAAGTTCTCAGAAAGATCAAGCCAGTCCAAGAAGCCATGAACACGGTGCGTCGCCTGGTTCCCGGCGAAAATAGTTTCAAGCTCCCCCATGTCCCTCCCAGTTGAAGCACAAACGACCAGTACTTTTCACCGAACCTCATTTATTGCTCCAATCATCTCCAGCGTGGCTTCGTTTTTTTGGGGGGCACGCAACAAAACATAGAGTGCGCCTTTGAAACGTCCCCCAAGCCATAATGCCCTAGACGAGGGATGATCCAGCCGGAAAACGCGCATAGAACAAGCTTCGGTGTTAGACCAAGAATGCACATTGGGGGTCTGATACAGCTCATGTTTCTTTTCTGGAACCAAAGTCTCCATTTCTTCCCCCCATGCATCACATTCCTCAGTTTCTCCACACTAAGAAATGATTTCCCGGAGTCAGGCGATCAAAGCTTCAAAAAGGCCCCTATGGAACTACGTCTGCAGGTGTCCTTTTCCTGCCCGCGTTTGCTTTTTGTTGCTTTAAAGAGAAAGAAGAAGGGATGCCAAAGTATTTGGGGGTGTCCATGTTGCGAGACAAGCCATTTCCCTTGTAAACATCTATGGGACAGAGCGACCCTTTCTTGGAGATCACCCCTCTCCATAAGGGGCAACCTCCTTTAGAGACATCAAAGCCATACATCCTGGAATAAGGGCCTTGATCTGTGCCCTTTTTGGTCACTTGAATATCTCTAACACGCAAGGCATTCGACACATACCGGCCCGACCACGTGACCCTGAGCACTCCTGACAATTCCCCTGTAAACATGGCTATGCACCCTCTATGCAGCCATCACGTACGTGGTTTCTATGCTCGTCAATTGGAACACCCCCCTCTTGCCTTGGCTAGCGTTCAACCCTGCATAAAGAATTTGTCATTATCATGGAAGTCAAGGCGGACGATATCAGATACCAAACGCTGAGCCAACGCTGAGCCAGTTCATCCACCAGTTGCCGAAAAGAAGAACCTGAATCAGAATTAGACACCTTGCCATGGCGGACGACTTGGACAGCCGCCGGCATCCCAGCTAGGAGCGTCTCGTTCATCTGCCTCAGACCCAGATCTAGGTGCCACCAGTGCCCCGGTAAAAGCAAGAACCCTTTCTGGAGGCAATCATCTTGGGAATCGGGTTGTGTAGCAAACATTTTAATTTTAGCAGTTGAGTGGGGGTTTCAACCACTAAACCACAATGAGCAAATATGAAAAATGCTTCCCAACAACAACCATGTGCAGGGCTTGGGATGGGGATTCAAAGAAGGCCAAGTGGTCAGTGAATGACTTGGTCAGATTCGGTTGCAAAACGTATCCCCAGCTGCCTAGTGGAAATGGGAACCTTGTTTGGCGTCGGCCATTTTACAGAACTCACCACTGATGCCACTGAAGTAGGCACGTGATCGCTTGCGGAAGTCTGAATCAACATATAAGCTTACGTACCGTTTCGGGCCATGCGTGCAAGCAAGCCGAACTTTGGTAGCAACTAAGTTCAGATGTGTCCAGCAAAGAATCCCACACCGATCCAAACACATAGACACAGACACACAGACACACAGACACACAGACACACAGACACACAGACACACAGAGACACAGGGACACACACAGACACAGAGACACAGAGACACACAGACACACAGAGACACAGGGACACAGGGACACAGAGACACAGAGACACAGAGACACAGAGACACAAAGACACAGAGACACAGAGACACAGAGACACAGAGACACAGAGACGCAGACACGCAGACACGCAGACACGCAGACACGCAGACACGCAGACACGCAGACACGCAGACACGCAGACACGCAGACACGCAGACACGCAGACACGCAGACACGCAGACACGCAGACACGCAGACACGCAGACACACAGACACACACAGACACACAGACACACACAGACACACACAGACACACACAGACACACACAGACACACACAGACACACACAGACACACACAGACACACACAGGCACACACAGGCACACACAGACACACACAGACACACACAGACACACAGACACACGGACACACGGACACACAGACACACAGAGACACAGGGACACAGGGACACAGAGACAGAGAGACACAGAGACACAGAGACACAGAGACACAGAGACACAGAGACACAGAGACACAGGGACACAGAGACACAGAGACACAGAGACACAGAGACACAGACACACAGAACGCTCCGAGTTTGTTTCCGATTTAGTCATTTGCTACCGGGTGCTTGCAAACAAATAATCGACATATTGAACACATATCCTTGCCCTGAAGTGGGTTTGACAATTCAACATGTGCCATGGGTCAAACTCCTCATTGCCATAGCCATGGTTGCTGCAACTTTATTTACAATTACTCACCAACCGGGATTGAGAAAGTCCAGGGTATAGTTGACATTCTCCGTTCCTGGGTGTGTCTGTAAACAAAGATAAACTAAAACTCGCACAGCTGGATGGCTTCCCTTCTTTGAACTTGCTGTTTAAAACCACTCGAACAACCACCTCTACTACTCTGTTTGTTTCTGATCCACAAACAAATGAGCCTTGATACTGTTTCGAAACAAAGCCGTTTACACCCGAAAAAGAGCATCAACTCAGGGAAACAAACATGAGCGGACATCTAGCCATCTAGCCAGGGGCACGCTGAAACGTCTGCAACCACCTGCTCAAAAATCTGGCTAGCGCAGATTCAGCCAACTCCAAACAAATAAGTTGTTTGTCATAGTTAGTAGGGAAGAGGTATTGCCCCAACATTCAGTCCCCTTGAGGCATTGTAGGGGGATCCGCAGGTGGAAAGTCCCAATCACAAAATAGGTGTGGCAGCCCTGTTGAGCCTCTACACGATTTTGAGTAGACTCGTTCAAATTTAAAGAGCAACAATCAAAACCTGGGGTTGCACTGAAAAGTGACCAAAGGGCCACGCTGGTAAAGGTAAGGTTCGGGCTGCGAACAGGAAAGCCTCCGCCGGCGGCTCCTCCACTACCTCCAGGGAAGGGAAATGGCTCATGAGACCCCCACCCACCGTTTTCAGCCTGAAAAAGTAGGGAGCTCACCAAACGAAACGGGATATAGGGCGTGCCACATGTGGCACTGAAGAATTCGGACAAGGACAGAAATTGATGAGTTGCTCCATGCTTTTGGCCATTCAGGTTGCTAACTCTTGGGACTTCGGCCAATTTTAGAATCAAAAAGAGATGGGCACCTTGGTTACTTGACTGAAAACCCTGCAAAGGAAAAGTTGCACTGACTCCTCAGATTCCCTCTACCTGGTGATTTGGATTTATGGTTTGGTGGTTTAGCAGGGTTTCTTCACGAACCAAGGGTTCAAATCCCAAGCCGCCTATCCCAAGCACCACTTCAGCCAAAAATCGCCAGGCGCGACGCATTTGAGTCACAATCAAAACCCGGTACTATAATGGTCTACCCAGAAACATGTAAGGAATTATCAAGGCGGCCGCCGCTATTTCTGGCTGGGACTGCCCCTTACTAACCTTCATCTACCTGGGTTTTGAGCACCTGAAGAGGGCGGCGCCTCCCAGTTCTCCTTCTCAACATCCAAGTTGTCCAGGGCCTGCATTGCAGCCTCCGAACGGAGCGCCGGTCTCGATCCCCAGAAAACCACCCCGTTCGATACGCCCAGACGATTCCGAAGCTCCGGTTCCGTTTACCCTCCCCCAGACTAACATGGAAGCTCCCAGGACCCTTTTGAAAGACTTGGTTCCATTTACAGAAGCCTTTTGGGAGCTGCCATGCTAGTCTGAAGGAGTGTACAAAGGCCGTCTTGGAGCTTCCGGCTGTTCTTTTGACGGACTGTACATCTTGAAACATCTTCACCGAATCTTTGATGGTGCTCGCCAGCGAGTTTCGCAAAGAAACTCATATTTGGCCCTTTTGGGTTTCCGCGAAGCGCGGAATCCAGGAAATCTTGCAAGATACTAGCACCCAGGTAGGGCAACTGGGGTCACTGGGGTTGACCCTGGTCATGTTTAAAACAAGTGACCAAACACCATTGAAGATAGCCCTCGCGACTGGACCTTCGATCACCTTAAATCCGTCTTACATAAACACCCTGCGATTTTATCCCCGACCTATCTCTGGGGTAGACCAAACATAATACGTTCTGATTCACATATCGAGCAGCCTCAAAACTGGGCTGCCCTCAGATCCCCCGCTAAAAGTTTAACTTTTAGTGGGGTAAGTGGGAAACTACCACTCAGCACTACAAAACAAAAAACTAAGGGGATGGCTGGGAGCCACCAAGAAAATCTGGAAGCGTTTCCGAGGAGACCCCAGAGCACTCAAGACTACGCCTCCAGAGATGCCAACAGCTGCTGGCAGCCCTGCAGATGGCTCCTCCAGGCCGCCAAGCGAAAGGTCGGTCGGGTTGTTTTCGCAAGGGTCCAAGGGGCGGTGCGATCACATAAAACATCAGCTATGAGAAAAGGAATGGCTGTGTTTCGCTGATGCCGTATTGACCTCTTGGATTGATGCAATTGTTTCGTTGCCGTTGGGTTTGATCCCATAAACCAGTTCCTTGCGAACTGTGAGTCTCAATTCGGGACCATTCCTTATTTGGCGACCAACAAAAACAGTTTTGCGAGCCTTACTTCGGTCAGCAAACACACTGGTTGGATTTTCAAGAAACAAAAACCGCCTCCGGCAAAATCTAGAGCAAGGGCAAACACCAATTGACAACATAAATCTAAAGACATAATTAAGGAGGATTGCATGCCGTGGGGGTAGGACACATTTATCTATTTTTTGAGTGGACTTAATGCAACACTCAAAGCGAAATATCCCTGAAGCTCCCTCTTGGCACACATGTGTGTCTTTTGCTGATTCGTTCCGCAACGTTCGTTGTAAATAGCTGTTGTATACTCTTGGATTTGTCCTCCAAGATGATTACAGTAGTCATCCAAGGAGCGCGCTCCACATATCCGCAAAACAAGCGCACATCTCCGCAAACAGCAAACGAGCGCATCGCTTTTCTTTGTTGTTGCTGTTGGAACCGATGAAATAGAAGAAACAAACTTTAGCAATTGCTCGCCTTTCTTCGATATTGAAAAACAATCCGCCCTGTTTTTTTTCAGGACAGCTCGCTTTTCGAAACAACAACAGAAAAACATGGCTCGAATGCACAGTTTACGTAACACAATTTTGTGTCATAATCAAGGCTCCAGGTCGGACGAACATAGGGTCTGGAAATCAACGCAAACGTTTCCTCGGGAGAAAAACTGATCTAAAATGTTATTGTGAGCATCAACAACTTCAATCGACCCACACACGGCACGGTTTCTGTGACTTCACAAACTTCACGCTGCTCCAAAACATCCACTTGCCATGTTGAAACCACCCAAAGTTGTTGCTTGAAAAAACAAAGGTTGAAAGCAATGGGGACTTATCCCTGCTACGTCTGCTCGGGCAACTTAAGGACTTAAAAAGGACTTAAAAAGGTTATAAGTTTGATAAGTTAGTTGTAAACTAGGTATAGCAAGCCAACTTCAACACAACTGCGCAACTTGATCATAACTTGAACACTTTGGCCGAGGGAAGCTACGGTGAACTTAGTAACATATACCCAGTGCCAGAACTTCCTCGGCCATTAAATAAATGTCCTTAGGACAACGGACATTTTTTGCTCGAGAAGGGACATTTTTTGCATCCACTATGGGGACTCAATTTCTTCGAGTGCTCTGATCAGGCAAATTGACGATAGACAAACCATAGACATACCGTAGACATATCATAGACATACCACAGGCAAACCATTCGGGAAAACCATAGGCAAGCAAATAACCGCTACGAAAAGTACGGTGTAATTAAGTCAGGGATACTTGATTCCGCAGAAGGGAAACACATTACAAAATCAGCATATTCACATCAGGTCGAGTCGTAAACCCGAGATTTGTTGAGCTCGTTGCTCGTTACTGGTGACCGAAAGGGACCGTAGACAATCCGTAGACAACCCGTAGAAAGTACATTTTCTGCCGTAGAACGGCCATTTATTGCCGTAGAAAATACATTTTCTGCACATCCCGTTTTTGCACCATTTTGGTGTTAATTCGCGGCACGTGACTTCACAGGACTTTGTAGCTCTTTTCTGGCTTGACAATTGCCAATATGCATGCATGGATCGATGGATGTGTGCTAGACCAGTATATGCAGAAATCAAATAAACAGTTCCCGAGCCGTGCCCCGTGGCTGACGTTGGCAAGTTTCTGCAGAAGGCAGTGCGAAGCGCACGAAGCACTCTCAAGCTCGGCAAAATGGGACTGTGCAGCCCCCTCCAGCTATTAAGTGCGATTTTCGTGAAAATCATCAACCAAATTTAAGCAAAAAAAAGCCTTTTCCCAGAAAATGTACTTTGCCACCTCGGCTATTTATTTAATGTTCTTTGGAAGTCTAGGGTATAAGTTAGTTAGCCTTGTGCAGCTACAAGAATTTAGAAAACTTGTGCGCAACTTAGGAAGTTACGTTTTGCGCTACATTTGTTGTCTTGGTTGCTAAAGTGTAGTTCGGACATGCAATTTGTTCTGAAAACACGCCAAAATGTTCTTTGTCGAGTCGAGTGTTCCTTGGCCGCCTCTCAGCTCAACCACAGCGGTGATTTTGACGAGACACGCTGTTGAAATATGGTCGGTGCGTGCGCGCAAACTGTTCGTGCTCTTGGCTCGGTGGCGCGTGCTTGTGGATAAAGCTATGCTGCGTGGCGGTCCAATTGCGCTTGCGCCTTAAAGAGTCATTCGAGTCTCTTGCTTAGTAAGCCTGAACTTGTATGATAGGTCACTACACTTTCAAATTGAGATGTGCAACTTAACAAATCCTGCGCTTAGTTAGCGTTTGCTGCTTCAGCATTAGAATGAGTAGCACCAAACTACAGGTTCCCGGTCCTATGGCAAGGAAATTTGAGGAGGCAGATTTGCAAGTGAGCAGCGCTGCTTTGTACACCTTCAGGGATGGGTCTTCCAGCTCCTGCACAAACTGGTGGCATGCAATGGCTGATATGGCTGGAGGTAAGAGATCTCCTACTTGCACCTTCCATAGTTCATCAACACAATTATTGCTAAGTAGATCTCCTATGGTCAAAGCGGGTGTGCTTGCCATGGTCAGGCGTCCCGCAGTGCTATAACAAAGCAGTCGCGCGGGTGTGCGTACCATGGTCAGCCGGTTGTGCAGTGTCCAGGGATAAGCAGTCGAGCAGGCGTGCTATGCATGACCCAGCGGTCAAAACCTAGTGGACCTTGTTGAGGCAGCCGAACATGACACTGAGACTCCAAAACAGGCCCCGGTTTTGTCAACCACAGAGTCATGACCCCCCAAAAAAATGAAAACCTGAAAAACAACAACGACACAAAACGAAGGATCCCCTCTCAACGTTTATGAATCCTAGGCTGACATGACTTATAGCACTTGCCCAGTGGTTTTCGGTTGGCGACAAACAAGTCCCCCTGTAGTCTGGTGGTCAACGAGGCACCAAAGAGGTTGTTCAAAAGGGGGGGGGGCCTGTCCACATCCTTAGTCACTACGAGGGAACCACGTGGCATACGGATGAAGGATTGATTTTGACCAACCCGGCGAAACAAGCCCCTTACATTTATGTCTCCGTCGAAACATCCGGCCTGATCTCGCTAGCAAGCTGACCTGGCGACGACCCCAAACTGACAAAGCCCTGGGCAAGATGACTTGATTCCTCAAGACGGCCTAGACTGCCTGCCATGTTGTCAATCCCTCACATCAATCCAAGAGATTCCCGTACTGCCCCTCAAAAGACGTCTTTGAACCCCACTTCTTGAGTGGCTTGGCGTCCAGGAACTCAGGGATGGAAGTTTCCTTTTGGTGGCGTGATGTTGGTTGGCATCTAGTTCGACTTCTTTAATGTGGGATGGGGCAACGCTTACAGAGAAGCCGGGACCGGGTCGACATGGTCATCATACACGAGCTCCATGTGCTCCCAGCTCGTTCTGACTTGTGCAAGAGTGTCAACCGCTTGCCTGCTTCCCCCTCTTCGCCTTGCTCCTGCGGGGATAAGGCTTCAGCACTTCACACGCAGGCTCATAGAAACTTTTTTGGAGTTCAAACGAGACATGGGAAACCAGCCAGGGTTTGCCTTTTCCACTGCAATGAACAGCCTCTCTTGAAAAGGGCTTAGGGGGGGCTGCTTGAAAAATCCCACCACCAGTGGACAAGCAAACCATGAAGCCAGCGGCTTGGTCCCTCTGAACTACAACCATTCATTGCGTCACGCCATTTGACTAAGGCTGGACATGAAAGAACCTGGGGCCACTGAAAGCAGATCAAAATATGTTGCGAATGGCAAATGCACCAAGGCCAATCCACCCAATCCCCAGCAAGCTTGGTCCATGGCGGCTTGTGGGAACTCAATTATTCACCACTTTTTGCGGGTCAGCAGAACAATTACTGGATGGCGGTTGGTTTCCACTTCCCACAAACAGGAGCAACACGTCGAAGGACCTTACATACAATTTCCATGGAGTAGCCTTAATGGTAGAAAAACAGATTGAAGCCGTGGTTGGGGTTGCTTCATTTTAATGAGAAACTCACCACACAAAAAGGGGCTGGCTCTTAATTTAGGTGGAATCTACTGCGCCACTGGGTCTTTTTCAGCCTGGTTTGGTCAAATTTGGCATGCCCCAAGCAACGACTCGGTTTAGGGGCGACTCTCTCCAACTGGGAACAGGTTCCATTTTCCATGTTTTTTGCACCCATAGGAAAATAAAGCAACTTAGGCCCTGTTTTATTGCTTCGTTTTCTTGTTTTGGGGGGGAGGGGCAACAAAAATCCTTTGGAGACCGAAGGAGTAGCCACCGCAAACCTGCCTCTCTGGCTCGTCTTTGGGGGGTCCCCCAAAATGGCCCTTTGAAACAGCCAAAAAGGGGGTACCATGGATGCCCTCAAAGCATGACACACACACACACACACATAGTACTCTAGAGACCACCCAGAAACGCCCCAGATCCGTTTCGATCCGGAGTCCTCCAGCGCCGACAGCAGCTTCTCACTGCGGCACGCCCTCAACTCCTGACAACTCCGCCGCAGCACCTGGCGCCATTTCGCGGGACCGACTTGGTGTCTGTTTCGTGTTTCCAAAGCTAAGGGTGACCTCAAACTAAGGGGTATATGCCTCATTCCGTGTTTTTTTTTTTTTTTTTTCGTTGTTCTGGGGTGGGAAAGGACCATTGATGCCAAAGAACCAGCGCACAGGTTCAAATCCCCAAACCAATAACTAAGGGATACCTCAACCTGGGCGGTTCTTGTTTTTCCAAAAAAGATTCGGACCCCCCTGTTGGTCCGAAACCCAAAATTTGGGGTGAAACACAAACTAAGAGTTAGCTAAAATCTGGGTGTTTCTCAAAAGGGATGCTGAACACCCTTATGGGAAGCCACAAGGAACCATTTTAGGGAAACCCCTATTTTGGAGAAACCAACTTTCCAAGAAAAAACGCAACCTGTGAAACATGCTCACCCAGTCTTGATGGGTTCTAATAAACGGATTCATCACACATGTGTTTTACTTTTTCTGGATTATCAACGAATTGGTCGGGAATATGTTGTCAACTGGCTGCTTTACTCAATTCAGGGACTCGGTCGCATGCTAGAATGGGTCACCTAAACAATTCTCACAGTGGATTGGCTCCAGAAACACGAACTTCTGCTCCTAGGAAGTGGTGGATCTCCCACAAAATTGGGACGTGCCAAGGCTGTCCAGCACTGCAGAGTGCACAAGTGTGGCACACATCCAAAGGGAGTCAATTACACTTTTAGGGCGAACTTGTCCCAATCTCGAAAGGACAACCCCGACGGAAGGATAAATGTTTCCTCGCAATGAGGCCACGGAATCAGCTGCGCTTTTGGGAAGCCCTACCATTTTGTCCATAAGAAACAGAGCAGCCCCTCCCGGAAAGGTCTAGGTTCTTCCAGCCCAACAGCTTCCATTTGCATTGCCAGCATCAAATAACATAAAGCACACTTTCCAGGCATGCAAAACCTGTCCTTTTGACACGCACAAGGGAAAACAACATCTTAAACCAAACAAAAACAACAAGGGCGCATGTGCCGTGGTCAAAACCATGGCAAGTATGTTTGTCTAGATCTTTTCCAATGAGGTGTGTGACCTTTCCTACCAACCCAGAGTAGGGTGTTTCTACCACCCACATGGAACTCAGACTCTCAGAAGCCCAGTGGCCATGGGAAAGAAAGAAGCTTGCTCCCTGTTCGGCTGGTGGATGTTGAAGGGAATTTCATTAAAACAAAAAAACAGGCGCTGAGGGAACATGAGGCTGCCGAACGACCGAACGAGCACCGAGCCTGCCAAAGCTGTCGGGCCTCAGCCTGAAGGGATCCGAACCCGAAGTCAGCACAAGAAGCGCGGAGCCAAATGGGGTTGGTCACTACTCCGTTCGGCCCACGACCATGGCGAACTTTTCCCAGGTGAAGGTCAGCTTTCTTGAAGGTTTCTCGTGTAAAGGAGCTTTAAATCAACCCCAAGTAGGGCCAAGCGCTTCCATTTCTGAGTAATGTATAGTAACTAAGGGAATCACGCTTCAAGGACCAAAAAGAGACTGGTGGGTTACCTACTATTGCAACTGGGATCCATTGGATCATGCAAGGGGAAGCACTTCTTTTTGGAGATGAGTCCATTTTGGTGGGGAAGCCACCGATGAAAAGGAGAGCTCCCCAATTTGGGCGACCCCCATGTTTATGAATGTATGTGACATGTGTGCAATACGGTTTTGTCTTTGGGTGCGGATTTATTTTGGGATTTGTTCCGTTTTTTGTTTTTTGGTTTTTCTTTCTTTGTCCGGGCCAGCAAAATGTTGTATTTTACGCATTTTACACTAGCCCGTCAATTTCAACATCCCCGCATGTCCGACCAACATCCCTAGCATCACCAACAAATCGTGTAACAAAATCGGAAAAATAGGTGGCGGGTTGACGGGGTCAACCAAATGATGATTCAAATCGGAGGGCATTTCAGTCCCTGTAAAAAAATAAATAACAAGTAGCGGGGGGGTTGGGGGGGGCCGCAGAAGTGATGATTCGAATAGGGGTGCAATTCAATCTCTGCAAATAGCGGGGGGTTGGGGGGGGGGGCGGCGGGCGGCAATGATGCTCGAATTGATGATTCAACTAGGGGTGCAATTAAATCTCTGTAGAAAATCTAAAACGTAGCGGGGGGGTTGGGGGGGCGGCAGCCCCCCCCATGATGTCGGAAGAAGTGATGATTCAAGTAGGGGTGCAATGATTCAAGAAAGGGTGCGATAGAATTTAAAAGGCAGCGGGAGGGTTGGCGGGGGTGGCTTCCCCTATGATGTTCGAAGAAGTGCATACATACAGACATACATGGATTACACAGATTACCTAAAATGTCGTATTTTGCAGCATTTTCTCGCGAAATTGGACGCTCGAAAAATGATGATTCAAATAGGGGTGCAATTCAATCTCTGCAAGAAATCTAAAAAGTAGCGGGGGGGTTGGGGGGGGCGGCACCCCCCCCATGATGTTTGAAGAAGTGTTGATTCAAATAGGGGTGCAATTACTCTGCAAACAATCTAAAGAGTAGCGGGTGGTGGGTTGGGGGGGGGGCCTTCCCCCCCGATGATTCACATAGGGAGGAACTGGTGATGCTCATGATGCGGGAAGCCAAATCCAAAAACCAATGAAAGGGTGCAAAAGCCAGGATGCGAAAAGCCAAAGCCGCCAAAAGCTGCATAAACCAGCGAAAAGCCGCAAAAGCCAAAACGCCAGCTGCCGAAGAGGAACTGGGAATGCAGAGGATGCGAAAAGCCAAAGCCAAAAAGCCACCAAAACCTGCATAAACCAACAAAAAGCCGAAAAGCCCAGAAGCCGAGAAGCCAAAAAGCCAAGAAACCGAAAAGCCAAGAAGCCAAGAAGCCAAAAAGCCAAAAAGCCAAAAGCGAGAAAAAAAAATAAAATCCTAAAATAAATACCCCTCCTTTGTTTTTTTTTGGATGGGACACTGTGCTCAACGGGAAGCTACAGGGAAATCGGGCCCGATTTCGGTGGCATGGGGGCCGCGGCCAGGGTCAACAATATGCCCTCGTTTTGGACCCTAGTGCCGCCTTTTTGTTTCTCGTTTTTTTTTTTTTTCCCCCCCCCCCCGTTTTCGGGGGGTCACCCCCTGTCAACCTCAAAACCCCGTTTGCGGCCGAGCCCGGATTTGAATCTAAGATGGCAACAGGGCCCCCGTTACATCAAGGGCAATACCAATGGTTGAACCCAATCTGCATATGCATCATTCCGCTTCCCCATGTTTCCCATTGAAGCATTTCCCACCTCAAGGAAACTCACTTTGGCAACCAAAGGATGATGTTTCAAGCTTGACGGTGAAGCTTCCCAAAAGGCAACATATCCCGGCATCCCCCATTTCATTGTTCTAGTCTTCTGCATCAAAGGGACAATGAAGTTAGAAAAAGCCACTCCAGGCGTCACCCCGTCCCCGAACTCCATGTTTAAGGGGGGGCTGAAGATATAGATGAACACGAGAAACCCTTTTCCATGAGGTTCAATGGCAGCCCTACCCTCCAGCCTACATGCACCCTGATCCTAGGAAGCTTAGAGTGCTTCGGCTTGATCAACAGGAAGCTGATGTTCCACCCACCCCTTCGTGCCATTCCAGAAGTAACCGGGTCGCCACAACCGAGCGCAGGAGCAACCATGTCAAGATCCGGTTGCCCTTTCAAGGCAGCGCATTTGCTGATACTTGTCGCCCCGATAAAATCCCAATGTGCAACTTTCAACCTGGCACCAAGAGCGTTGTGCTTTGCGGCGTTACTAAACATGAACACAGATCAGAACCAGACAACACAGAATGCCAAGAACAGTGATGCATGAAGTAAAAGGCAAACATGCCACAGCTGGTGTAAAACCATTTGTATCGTATGTGTCCTGTTTGTCACCTTCACATTGGCATGCCACTATGGTTTGACACAACAAATGCTCGACAAATGGCGACACAATTTTTGTCATCCAAAACATGTTCTAGCCATAGCAAATGGCAGCGGCAAAAGGATGTGTCAACACCTGTACCGAGAACCTTTTTGACCAAGCTCCCTCCCGCGCCAAAAGCCCGGCCTGATCCACCTCTGCGTGCGCAAGCTTCTCCTGCAAAAAACCAGCCCCCGCCCACGGAAAACCCGACAGACTCACGCTCAACCGGAAAAAAAAAAACGACTTATTGCGAAACTCTGCGAGTTACATTGGCCTAATCGGCACTGATTGCTACTATTCACTAACCTGAAATCAAGGGCATGGATGAGCTCGTTCATCAGGTGAGCTAACGACAATGTGTGCAGACAATGGTTGTGCTTTAGGGCTTACAGGGTAGGTAGCCCAAAGATTGCACACAAGGGCAACATATTTGCATCGAATGATACGGCTGATTTGCGGACAGCACGGCTTTATCTCAAAACAGGGGGATCACACAATAGGTTTTTGCTGGATGCTTCAAACCTGCAGGCTACCCAAACGGCCAACCCGTTGGTTGAGCTGTTTGACTTGGGCCTGCTTTCGGTTTTGGATTTGAGGTGCGGACACCTCTCCTCCCCCAAGCTCCGCCTCCCTTGGACTTGCAGCTGGTTTTTCTGGGACTGGCAATTTTCACTTGAGGGAGCTGTGTTGTCTTGGGGTCCTGGGAACAAGAACGAGGTTGGGGGCCAACCCTCCGATTCTCAGTCAAAGGGGTGCAGTGTCTGGCTGTTTAACTCATTCTGCCCAACCCTGGTCAGTAATGAGTGCCAGAGTCGAAATGACTTGTTGCCCCAAAAGGACATGGGACATTTCGTGAGAGTCCCCTGGTGCGGAACTTGGTAAGTTCTCGCACGTCTCAAGAAGCAGAGACTCATGGAAATTACGCCAGAATGGTCTTCTTAAACAAGCAGCTGTATGGGGCCCTTCAACTGGAGCCCAGCTTTGGCCTTTGCTAAGCGCCAGAATATGTCACCTGAAATGTTTTTGAGAGGAATGAAGACAAAGGCAAGGTTGAGCAACACTCGGGTCAGCCACTTGTGGATGGAGCAATTCCTTCATTGGCATTCATGACACCCTATGAATGCCGAAAAGATTACCGACTGGTGCCGAAAGCGTGGATGTCCTGACTCTTGTTTGACATGCCCATCTCAAACACATTCCCCTTCGAGTCACCCCGAAAAAGAAAGGTGTAACCTAGGTGAGCCACGCAGCGTGCCGCTCACCCGGCGTAAGAAGCAACAAGTTCAGTTGGAGCGGAAATCGGTTCCTGCTCCCATGAGTTGAGCGGAGATAATCCAGCAGTTACAAGGCGGACTATCAAGCTACCCTTCGCATCACTTGTCTCAAGCTGAAACTGTGTCGTTCTCCTGCAGGATGAAACACATCCCTTGCAAGTATTTCAACGTGGTCTTCAAGGGAGCCATGACGTGGGCGTATCAACATTTGTTGTCGATGTTTCAATTACACCCCCTGACCACCCAACTCTTGAATGCACCCCTCTTTTCGTAGTGGCACTGCGTTTTGCCGGCGAAAACCCGAGTTCCACCGCCTGGAAAAACAAGGTCAAACATATCTGGACCAAAAGAAAACCAACGTCAACATACCAAAACTCGGTTGCTTTCCGCTGCCCTGCTAAAAGTTTAACTTTTAGTGGTTTAATGGAACACCCTTTAGTTGGCAAAAAGTTAAAGTCCTAACATCCACGCACAATGCACCAAAGAAAAGGCAAGACCCCCTTTTGGCTTCCTTTCTCATGTAGTCTGGGAATCCAAAAGCTGTTCAGTGGCGCCCTTGAAAGGAGTTGGCCCAACGGGGGCAGCCTATGGCCCTGCAGACCTCTCCATTTCACATGATTCACGAAACTTTTCGGCCTCAACAGGGATAGATCTCCAGATTTGAGAGGTTAGAATGAGGGTTCCCGATTTTTTTTTCAGGACGTCTATTTTAGTAGGGAACCCTACCAACAAAAGAAGGGGTGAGCAAGGGCACTACTGGGGGACCTAGAGAATAACACGATGAACCAAGTACGGAACCTACCCGCCTTAACATCGCACCCAAAGAACACACCTTTGCACACGGCAATCAGCAGATTGAATACATTTACCTCCCGCATGGCATGGAACCCAAAAACGGGGACACCCAAAAGGACACTCCCCTCACACATAAGTCTTTTTGGGTCCATCTATTGACCTGGAAAGTAATCCTCCACGCAGTTGTTCAGTGACCCTGGAAAAAAAGGGAACCCTTTTGAGCAACAAAAAAAGGGAAGAAGGGTGCCACTGAACAACTGGGGTGCATAAAAAGGGACAACTCATAGCATCTGCATGTGACCCGCCAAAGCCAGATCGCCTGAGCCAAGTTGGAGGCTTTCTTGCCCACCTGGCTTCGTGAAGCACTAGGGGGGCTGATTCCGTCCACCTGAGTCACTTGCTCAAAACCCGGCACTAAAATGGTCGTAATCTCAAGAATTGAGGAGGCGGATATCCGCAGCTATTTATGGTTGGGATTGTCCCTTACCAACCTTCATCTACCCGGGTTTTGAGCACGTGGCTCACCTGAAGATTGGCCCAAAAAGAAATATGTCCCTCTGGTCTGGAGGCAAAGGCAATGTGCCAAGTGGCCAAAGTAGTATCCTTGAAGCCCTGATCACGGGGTTATCGTTCATCTCAATGTAAAAGCCGGATCCCATTGAAAGATACGCCTTCAAAAGATGGTCCGGCCGCCAAAACCGCACGAGGCTTGGGTTGGGGCAGAGTCCCAAACTCGCACTTGGGTTGTCAAAAACCTTGACTTCTTGGGCACAGCGTCGCGGACTTTTGCAACCCAAGACAATAGTTGCCTCACGAATACTACTTTGCATTTCAGGAATTTAGACTGCTTCACATCCGCATAAAAGACGCAACCCATAGGCAATAGGACACCAACTTTTCAGGCTCCCGAAGTGAGCGCATAGGAACCCATTTGCACCAGAGTGGGCCCGTCCTTTCGGGTCTCGGCCCCGATTGCCAAACCGAACTCAGGTTGTGACCCCACTACCAACTAGTATGTTATATGTAGAAAACCCTAAACATGTGGAATGATTCCAGAAGATTTGTTTGTTGGCTTTGTAGTCGCTGATGCAGATCCATCCAACTTGTCTGGCAGTCACACCAGCCCAAAACGAAATCCGAGTGTTTCGGGCAGTCTTCCGTCGAGCTGCGTTTGTTCGCGGTCTGCTTCATTTCAAGACGGCAATCTGACCACCACCCCAGCACAACCTGGTGTAGTGGTATTCCACCCCCTTTGCATATTAGAGGCTGTAGGTTTAATTCTTGCTGGGCGTGCGTGCCTGCACGAGAAAAATCAAACTTCATCGCATACAAGGAGCAACACAAGGAGCAATACTGGCAGTGAATCGTACCGTTTCGCACCGGAAAAAAAGAAAGAAACAAAAACAATTCTATAGACAATATGAATTGATTCGAACCGAAAGAAAACGAATCGTATCGCTTCGAGCGCGTTACAACCATGATTGCAACTGCAAATCAGCAACAGCTGAAACCTGGGTCAGCGCTCCCTCACCCATGCGGATTCAGATGACTTCTTTTTTAAGCAAGAAACAAAGCCTCTGCCCGTGTGAACACCTTGTGCAAAAAAACACTGCTCTGCGAACATCGTCAGGTTAAAACGCCTCACAAATTTCGGGCGGAGAGAGAGAACAACAAAATTGGAACTCCAGTTCTGAAACGTCTGTGCGACAACTGATGATGCCCATGGCAAACAAAATCAGCCATCTGTTTGAGTGGGCCGGGCCGCCCGCCGCCCTCCAACATGGATCCCAGAAAAAAGCAAACCCACAGAGGAAAATGGTCTTTCAGAAATCCCTAGGCAGGTTCCATCGATGCAACTTGCCGCAAAGATCTACGTTGAGGTACGATGAGTCATTCCAAAACCTGAAGCAAGGGATCCAACAAAAGGAATCATGAGCTCGTTTTACCCCTTGAGCTCGATACAACTCTTGGCCCATGCGTTGCTGTTCCTTTTGCGCTTGCCGATCTTTAAATCCGTGGGTTCAAACATATTACACATGTCCGGCGTGTAAGTCAGCACAAACGCCAAACACATTTCTGGCGAGGTCCGGCATTCCCCCTCAAAAACCAACAAAGGCAACTCACCCTGCGAGGCTTTCTGCAAGTTTATGCTGCCAAGCCCGCTTGACAAGCTCATATGTTTTCCTTGTAAGCAACAAAAACACTCACCTGAAAAAAGAAACCACAGAAAGCCGAATCCATCCTATACCCTGGGCCTCCTCAGCTTTGCGCAGGCGCTTGACCTGACGAAACGGATCGAAGGCCGGGGCGTTCTCAGGTTGCCCAAAATACCTCGAAACTGTCAAGAGGGGCCGACCCGAAGGGAGGGCTGACCTAGTTGCCGCGTTTTTCTGGGTTGAAAGGCAATGTAAAGGCGAGTATTGCGAGGAAGGTGTGCGTCGTTCGCAAGGAGAGATTCAGTCATTCGCAATGCAAAGGGCTTTGGGAGTATGGGGCCCTGGTGGCAAAGGTTTAGGTCGTCATCATCCAACTGGACGAACCCTGCAAACGATCTTCAAGATCCTTCGATTGCATCGAAGATTTCGTTCCAGGGCACACACGCACACACAACGCGGCCCATATTTCTAGTTAGAAAAGGAGACGAGAAGGGTGAGCACTTGGCCATGCTTGGACATTTCTCGAAGATCTTGGATTTCACGGGGGGCCTAGAAGTGCCTTCTGCTGAGTTGAGTCACCATTCTTATCCTTTCTGGAGGAAAAGCCCGGCCTGCCAATTTTTGGAAGCCAAAGGAGACCAAGCCAAGACATTGTGAAGCTGGGCTGAGACCACATAGAACTCATAAGGGCTACCGGAGTAGGGCTCTCATGACGGATTGGGGCTCTGCTAGTTGGTCCTGTACTGTCAACCTCACATCCGAGGGACCATCACATGCCAAGATATTGGACCAATAAACCCTTGGTGCGAAAAAACTGGTTTGCCTGGTAGGTAGAATATCCAAGTACCTATCTCTGGTAGTGTACGTATTGTGGAAACCTTCTTAGACCCCTTCATGGCCACTTGAAGGGGCCAGAGGTATTTGGTACCTGGCCAGTAACCCGGCTTATAACACACTCAAGGGAGTCACAACCATGCTACGTGACCTGTAAACCTGGTGACCAACCAGTTGCCAAGTACCTTGTCCCTCTACCCATCTCTCCCTGGTATGTGTCAAAATAGGGGTACCCACAAAATCATGGTTTTCATCTTAATTTCCCTCTAAACTAACCTGACAAGGGGTACCTTCAACAACACACACACACAGACACACAACTGAGGGTGTTTAAGCGCGATTCAGCAATCCCGGTATGAACGTGAATTTTCGCAGTTGGCTGGCGCAACTCTGGGTCTGATTCCTAGAATCGGCAATCCTCTGACACAGCCCTCAGCTCCGGCCCATCTCCCGCTGGGTTTGTCTCAAAATAGGCATCGGACCCCCCCAAAACGAGCGGCTTCCCTTCGGTTTCCCCAACACCACCTACACCAAAAACACCAAAGCGGGTACCACCCCAAAATTCCCTGCCCAAAGCACCTTTCTCAACAAAAGCTAATCTTGAGCCATGAACTTACAAGTGCACCAACCTGGGGAAACCAAAAGGTCCAAATCATTGGTCGATTCGCGCGAACCGGCGAATCTCAGCTCAAAAACTCCCATCGTCGCCTCGTGGGTGGCCAGCTTCAGCGCTAAACTCTGTTCCGCCGCGCGGTTCCGCACCTCCACGCTCGACAGTTTCGCCTCGGCGAAAAACGCGCGACACGCGGGCGGCAAGGCGGACGGACTGCGAGGTCCATTTGGTGGTGTGGGTTGAGGGTAATTGCCCCTTTGAAGGGGATGATTTAAAGGGACACCAACAGGAGACACACCATTTTTGCAGAACAACGGAATTTGTTACCGCGTGTTTTGCGCGTTTTGAGGCTTCCAGTCTTCTCGTGGGTCAAGCCGGCCAACTGCCAAACTCCAACCAATGCAGGGGGAACATCTTGGCAAGTCCAAGCAAAACCAAAACAGACAAAAGAAAACAGAAAAAATAATAATAAAACAACACACACACAGCATCGAGAAAGACACAAACAAACAAAACAACTTGAGAACACCCCCCCCGCCCCGAAAGAAAAGAAACGAAAACACACAAACAAACAAACAAACAAACAAACAAACAAACAAACAAACAAACAAACAAACAAACAAACAAACAAACAAACAAACAAACAAACAAACAAACAAACACACAAACAAACAAACAAGCAAGCAAGCAAGCAAGCAAGCAAGCAAGCAAGCAAGCAAACAAACAAACAAACAAACAAACAAACAAACAACAAACAAACACGAGTCGGAAACTCTTAGGCAACCAGGTCGTGTTGAAAGAGATCTAGAAAGATGGTTAGCTCGCTTTGTTTGTATTTGTTTGGTTTTCTCAATTTTTTCTGGTTTCTCGAGGTTGCTTTCCTCTTCTTTCTTTTTTTCGGCTCTTGCATTGTCGGTCTTACCGCGTGCTTACAGTGTTTGACTGTTTTCTCGAGTATGTGTTGTTTCGAGTTTTCTTGAGTTGCTTTTGTCGTCTAGGTTTCTTTCTGATAAGGGGCAGGCACGAAGGATAAAACAACCTGCTCGTCTTGTTCATTAGATTCTATCTAAATTCTGACTAAATTCTACTTAACGTCCTACTTGAAAAGGAACGCCCGCTTAAAGCCTATTTCCAGATTAGAACTCTAACTATTTCCTAATTTTCCTATTGATCATACAGTTAAATGTAAGAACTATACGTCTAAAAAAAGCAGCAGGAACGACCAGCTTGTCACTCGAAACCAGACCAGTTTAAATTCTGCTTCAAGCCGAACTAGGATTCTAGATGAGAAGAAGTAACCAGCTTGTCCTTGCTCACTAGACGCTAGTTAAATCATAGTTAAGTTAACTTCTAACTGAGCGCGAATTAATTTCTAATGAAGATCCTACTTGGGGAGGAATTGTTCTTCAGAATTGGACGGAACTTGCGCTTAAGACCCAACTCACAACAAGAAGTCTAAAAAAAACATTTTGAATTTGGTCCGGAACAGCACGCTCAGCTTTACCCAGGTACAGGGCGATGGGGTGATGGGCATTGCGAAGCCGCAATCAGGCATGCCAAGCCTTGGCTCGAGAAGAAACTGCGCAGTGTGAGGCGGTCGTTGCAGTCGCCTTAGATCCCTTGCCTCGAGCCCCCTTCCACACGCCCTTCAGCTCTGCTTGCCAATGGCGCCTCAACGGCCGTCAAACGATTGCGGGGGCTTGAAAAAATCAGATTGACCGGCGGGCTTTGAGAAGTGGGCTGGCACATTTGAAGTCAAGTTCGGCCTTCTCCATGTCCTGGCAAGCTTTGCGAAGTCTGGGCCCAAACCTAGCCTCATTCAATAAATGAAGCCCGTGACGTGCAGTCTGGCAGGTCAGCTGCAGCATGGCAAAAGCCCCGTCTGAAGCACAAACCACAATTCTCTTGAACGTGCCATAGGGAAAAACATTTCATCACCATTGCCTGCCAAAGGCGCCTGAAGCCAATACACAACCGGCCGACCGGCTGACCAGCTTGGAGCATTTTGAGGCAGTACACGGCTTCCCGACGCGGCCACTAGGGCCATTACACGGAACATTCCAGGCTGCTGCGCCGTTGCGCAAGCCAAAAACAAGCGGCTTGGGCACGGACTTCTTAAAAGCCCAAGCACGTAACGCTTCGAGTCTTGGAGCAGAGCGAGGCACATATCCAAAGTTGGATGGGCTGTATCTGTCTGCAAACACTTCGAATTCCTCGGTGACATCCAGCACAGAGAATGGTCGAACCCCAACTTTAGCCTTGGCATGATGCTATCTCTCCTAGATCGTGGCTTGACCTCGACGGCTGAGTTGAGTGAGGACTTGCTCGACGGGTGGAGCCGTGCCATGCGGGTGATGCGCAGTTTCTGTGACAGCGTCCAGACTGGGCACTCTTCAGTACTTTTTCCACGCAGAAAGTTGAAAGTTTTTTCCAAGACGCAGTAGGTTGCTGACAGCTATTTCCTTTGTGTGACTTCTAAAGCATTGGCTCCTTGGTTGAGCTCTTGCCTGCGGAAGTTATGGGCGGCCCGGGCAAGCAGGTCATGGAGTGTCTCTTGAGCCCCCTCAAGTTCGACCGGGCGAGCGTCGACGAGAACCTTCAGTCATTGGACAAGTTCTCCCGGCTGTAAACCTTCTGCTTGCAGCCTACGAGATTGAGCAGGATGAAGATTTGAAGGAAATTGCTGCGGCAAACAACATCATGGATGCGCTATTGCGAACAGTGTCTTGGCTGTTCAGTCACTGGCGCTTTCCACATGCAATAGTGCTGGGTCTTTTAGAAAGGCAGCAAGCGCGTGCTGAAAGCAGCCCCAGGCTAAGGGCCCAACGCTCGCTTGACCCGGCCACTTCAGGACTGTGCCTTCTCCAAGGAGTACAAGAAGGCGATGCAGTGCTTTGACGGACGCACGTGCAAAGATTGGCCAGGCCAATCCAGTGCCCCGTGGCGCTTTGTTGGCAGGCGGGCTCCTCTGACTGGCCTGTCTAAAGATTGCGTGTTCCTCCCTACACAGGGTTGCACTCAGCTCTTGCGTTGCGCTGCTTAGCTGCCAAATGCGCCAAGGTATTTGCGTGAATTTGTCTTCATGCGCTTCAACAATCCCTTGAGCGCTCGCAGAGCAGTTGCGTTTTGGTAGCATGCGCGCGTTCGCTGCATGTAGCGGCTGTAGTTGGCAACGGAGGCTGTGAACACTGCGTGGCGTTTTGCCTTTTGCCGAAACACAAAAAAAACGTGAGACTAGCCCTCCTGCGGCAAAGCTGCCTGTGTGGCTTGGGCGGCTGCAGCGAAGTTGGGCAGAAGGTCGTAGCAGCAAAGCAAGCCAGGAGCATTGAAGACACTGCAAGCGCACTGTAGTTGGCAACGGAGGCTGTGACCACCACGTGATGTTTCGCCTTTTTTTCGGAAGCCTGGCGCACCGAACCACCAAATGTTTGATCCGCTTCTTTTGTCCGGGGCCAGATGCAGTCTATTGTTGAAAGTTTGCCCTCGCGAAGGTGCACCGCTGCCATTCGGCAAACGGACACATCCTCGTGACAAGGCCCTAAGGGTTGGGAGGGCGGGAAAGCTTGAGCATGAGGGCCGCGGCCCCTTTTAAAAATGCTCCTCAAGTCCCTGTGAACAGAATTATGATCCGCTTCTTTTGTCCTACAGTCTATTGTTGAAAGTTTGCCCTCGCGAAGGTGCACCGCTGCCATTCGGCAAACGGACACATCCAAACATAAATCGAGGACACCCAGATTGGTAACTGGCTACAGGCCGAAAAATGTCCGAAGGGCCTCCGCAGAAGATTGAAACACTGCATTGCATAAAATCTGTGCCAGCTGATTGCAGAGAGGGATTGGGTAGGGCTGTGCGAGAAGAGTACGGAAAACCCCGTTTTCGCTGTTTTTGAGTTGCACGTGCCTGCTTCCAGTGCGGCTGCAAAAACCTTTCTTTCCACTGCACTGCTTCAGCCTTGGTGCCAGGTCGACATTTGCAAACATAAATCGAGTCCGTTTTCGCCAAGCTGTATTGTATTGACAGAAGTCACAAAAGCCAGTGTAAACGTCTCGTCGCTGCAGCAGATGTTTCATAGCTGGCGCCAAGCACAGCCTTGAAGAATGAGGGTTCTCCAAAATAACCGCAATTTTTAAACGAAGACAAAGCCGGAAGACCTGCACTGAGAAGTGCATGAGGGAGTTACCTATATCAAGCTTCGCCCTGTCTTTCTCAGAAACATCCGGGTACCCCATGATGAAGTCCCCATCATCCCTGATTGGACCAGGTCCCCGTCCGTCCCATCGCCGTGCTCTGGACCAAGAGCTACAAGGGGTACCCAACCAAATGCATGCAGCATAGCCTTGACGGATAAGCTCACTCAAGGACCTCTTGTCGCACCTTCTTTTTGCACAAGTCAAATTGCGGGCCATGTGCAATGTCGATCTCAAACCAGGGAATGCGGCTCCCGGAGAAACGCCGGCACGCTTGCGACAACCAGCCACATCCTGAAAAAAATCTCAAGCCCAACACCGTGTTTGCAAAACTTCACATGGCGGGCTGTGCGAAAATCTTTGAAATCCGCTGCTCTGCTGCGGTGGCCTCTGCTTGCTGTTGCGGGCTGAGTGACTGATACACCTGTGCGATCCGGCCGCCGTTGGAGTACCTCCGCACTGACTGCATGGTCCGCCACCTGCCCCGCTTCTGCACCTGCTCGAGCGTGCGAGTGCCATCCAGCACATCCGTGGACGCCGACCCGTGCCTGATCTGATAGGCGCAGTTGATGCCCTTCGGCACGTACCCCAGCCTTCGCAACACCACCGAAAAGGCTCGAGTCCCTTCCTCCATCTCGAACTTGAAGAGCCGTTCTTCCACGGGCCTGCCCCTTGCGAGCTTCCCCAGATGCGGGCCCAACCACTGCAGGTACTCCTGACCACCACCACCGCCTCGTCCGTCTCCCCGGTCTTTGACGGCGTGGCCACCTTCATATCCTGACCCGGGTTGAGCACCACGATCCAGTGTCTGCTCATTCGATTGGGCGAGACCAGATGCCCCACCTACAGCCGATGAACTTCTCCCGGACGGCCGCAAACGGCCCACACCGTGAACAGCCACATCGCCACCTCCTTGCATCCCATGGACACCAACTCCTGGCCTGCCCGGCACAACATGCTCCACGGCAGCGGGACTCGTCCTT